TGCCGGCCGAGCTCTGCCCTGACGCGCTCTCTGCCCTCTTGTCCCCTCAGCCCCCGCCGCGCTGAGGGCGCTGCCGCCGCCCGTCGCCGTGGGGTGAGTACCGGGGGAGCCCCTCGGACACCGGCCGGGATTTGTGCTTGAACCGCGTTATTCTACCCTTTTGTCTCTTTATTTTCTCCATTCGTGTTGTGGGAGTATAAATGACGGACCGTGGGAAGGAACTTCTGGAGGTTATCTAGTCCCACCCACTTCCTGGGAGGAGGTGTGTCCTGTAAATGCCACCTTCGAATCACGGAGTAGTTGGGTCGGAAAGGACCTCAAAACTCATCCAGCCTGCCGTGGACAGGGAACCTCGAGCAGGTCCAGCTTGGCCTTGGATACTGCCACGGATGGGGCAGCCAAACTTCTCTGGGCACCCCGTGCCAGGCCCTTACCAGTTACATACTTAATCGGAAATGTGCTCAAGCCTTGTCTAAGGGTGGTTTGGGGGACTAGTTCTGTCTATTTTTTAAATAAGAACTATACTTGAAATGTTCTCCTTGTTCACAGGGTGTTGCACACCACAAGACCACTGCACACAACTCAGCAGAGTTTGGCACCTGTGCCACCTCTGCCTGAGAAGGGAGGAGAAGTTCGTCATGGTTTGATCCCTGAGGAGTTTTTCCAGTTTCTCTACCCTAAAACAGGAGTTACAGGTTAATATAGACTTTTACCATTTTTAGCTATACTTACATGGTTCTGCTCACCAGTTCTGGCTACTGAAAAGGTAAAATAGTACTAAAAATGAGTATTCTGCATGTGCAGGTTGTGAAGAACAATCCAGTGCAGGACTCCTGGCTCTAAAGTTAGACACCTAATAGTTGACAGAGTTCCACAGGCTTGATTTTATAGAAAGATTTAATTGCCTCTTGGTCCTTAAAACATTTAAACAGGGAATTCTGCATGTTTCTGAATGAGCAGAAGCAGCAGGTCCCATGTCAGGTGAGAACCTAGTGAGATTCCTTGTGGCACCTTTCCCAGGTGCAATTGTGGCTCTTCTTCTTGTCCTGGTAAAATAGAACACTTCTCCCTGACCTCGTGAGCCTTTCAAGTACTCCCTCTTAGGTACTTGGGTTTACTGAGCCTCGTTATGCCTTGTGTAAGTAATGCTGCTTTATTTTTCCTGTAGGGCCCTACATGTTGGGCACTGGCCTCCTGCTCTACCTTCTTTCCAAGGAGATCTACGTTGTGAACCACGAGACAGCAGCAGCTGCCTGCATACTGACAGTCATCATTTATGGCATCAAGAAGTTTGGGGCTGATGTCGCAGCTTTTGCTGACAAACTTAACGAGGTAACGAGGACTCTGTAATTTGAGTTTGCAATTGTTAGTAAGGAGTGGTTTTATTAAAGTACAAATGGCTTTGAGCTGCCAGAGGGCAGGGTTAGATGGGATATTGGGGAGGAATTCTTCCCTGTGGGGATGGTGGGGCCCTGGATCCCTGGCAGTGTCCGAGGCCAGGCTGGACAGGGCTTGGAGCAGCCTGGGGCAGTGGGAGGTGTCCCTGCCCATGGTAGGGGGTGGGTTTGGATGGGATTTCAGTTCCCTTCCAGCCCAAACCGTCTGGGATTCCATGACTGATTGTGAGCCCTCATTCTTCTCTGTTGCCGTAACCTCAGCCGTGGCACGGGGCAGTTCACACAGACATTCTCTCAGCTTAATGCAACATTTCAGGATTCATTGCAGATCACTTGTTTTCCTTGCACTGACTCTGAAGCGTGGAGTTCTTTCCTTCTTGCAGGAGAAAGTGGCCTCAGCTTTAGCCATGAAGAACGAGGCCATCCAGACCCTGCAGACGGCCATCGAGGAGGAGAAGAAGGAGCAGTGGCGGGTGGAAGGCCGCAGTTACCTGTTCGACGCCAAGCGGGTGAGCAGGGCAGCGCTGCTGCTGCTCAGGCCAGGGCAGCCTGCCCTGCTGGGGTCCTGCACTCCTGGCTCAGCATCTTCTGCTGCCAGACTGAGCCTCTTGTCTCCTGCTCCGTGCAGAACAACATCGCCATGCTGCTGGAAACCAACTACCGGGAGCGCTTGCTGATGGTGTACAACGAGGTGAAGAAGAGGCTGGACTACCAGGTGGCCATGCAGAACCTGAAGCGGCAGAAGGAGCAGGACCACATGATCCAGTGGGTGGAGAAGAACGTTGTTCAGAGCATCACACCTCAGCAGGTACTTGCTGGGTTTTCCCTGCTTTATATTTTAGCCTGCACTAAGATTTGCTGTTCAGGGATGCTGGCTCACGAGGTGATGGGTAACCTTGGCCAGGGGTGGGACTGGATGAACTCTGAGGTCCCTTCCAACCCAAACCTTCTGGGATTCCATCAGTCTGTGCTTGATTGGATCTGAATTTCTGACCTCATGAGCCGTAATTGCATCCCTCTTAACAAGTAACTTACAGGTCTGAGACGGTTTCTCTAAAATGTACTTAAATGTCTGTTTTGCTTGTTGAACTTCTCCTGAGGGCTGTTTCCTGTCTCTTGCAGCAAAAGGAAAGTATTGCCAAGTGCATCCTGGACCTGAAGGCGCTGTCCAAGAGTGCCCACGCAGCCGTGTGAGCAGCCTGAGCCCACTGACATGTCCCAGTACCTCCTCTGTGACTGTAAAATCATTAAACAAATGAAAAAACCTCTTTGCTGTCTTTCACTAGCAGCAGTCCCTGCCTGTTTGTGTTTGAAGTCACTGGACGGTCACACCAACCACCGCAGCTGGTTTTTGGTGGGGGATGAGCTGAAACCACAGTGTGTGAGTTCCTGTTGGGTCCCCTCTTTGGTCACGAACACTTCAGAGATACAGAACTTCACAGAGAAAAATTCTGGTGCTGATTGTGTTTCAATTCTGTGTGATAGCAACCTGCTGTCCTTGTACCCATGTTCTAAAATCAGGATTTGTGCTCCCATCCTCCTGCTGGACGGGCTCTGGGTGAATGTTCTGGTTCTCTAAAGGAGCTGGAAATCCCCTTTCACCATAAAGCCTCATGCAGTGTTGAAAGGGTTTGGGGTTCTGGGAAGAGCGTGATCAGGCAGGAAATGTGTCAAAAGCTCTGAAAAACTCCCTCAGCTGATGGTGTCCATACTCAGTTTAAAGCAGGGAAACAGGTGAGTTTATTCCACAGCAGTTTCCCTGGACTTCCAGAAGTCTCTTCATTTTTTCATAGTTAGCATTTCCCTGAAGGAATTTTAAAACTCCAAAGTCCCAGCAGAGCACAGCCATGAATAAACTCGTGCTGTGTGTGCTGACACGTGATTGATGTCCCCGAAGTCCCATTCCTCAGGGACCAAGAAACAGGGTTTTCTGACACTTCACCAAAATGGTTCCTTTAGAGCCAAGAACCTTCCTTCAAGCCAACCTGAGCTGAAACTGCCTTACTTTTTTAGATAAACGGTTCCAAGGAATGCAGGTGTCTCTCATGGTTTCCTGTTTTCTGTCAATTTAAATAAAAAAGTGAAGTTGCTCAACTTCCACAATTGTGAAAACCCACATCTGATTGACATTTGAGCCTTAAACTGGTGTGACAGATTCTCCTCACAAAGCAAGTGGTTAAACTGGCGTGCTGACACTTGGGGAGTTTTCCAGCAGCGTTTCCATGGTGGGAGGTAAGATGGAGCTGGATCATTTCTTCTTTTATTTCTGCAAACCCAGCAGGCTGTGAGGTTTGGTGTGGGAAACTGGGAGCTTTCATGGTTTGACTCCCCTGGAACGTGGTGACAGTGGGGTGCAGTAGGAAAAGTGGCAGCAGCAGAGAACAGGCTGTTTATTTTCATCTTGTAGTATTTTTATATTATTCACAATCCACAGTTTGCAAATCATGTGGTGAGAAACGCCAGGGTTTTGTAGTAGAATATCTTTAAGAATCCCTATCTCTAAAGATTCCACACTGCCCTAAAGTAAAAAAAAATTGAGAAAAAGGTCACTGTTCCTGTTTTGGTGGGAGAAGTCTCTTAAACATCAAGGGAGGAACTTTTCAAAGCTGCTTCAGATTATGAAAATGTTCACAGGGTTTTAGCTACTGCAAAATTAATCCTGTAGGTGCTTTTTGGTTATTAAATATCCTCCATTTTCTGGGTGGAGAAGGCACCGTGCCCCTCAGGAGCAGTGAACTCGTGTTCAGGAACAGGACGCTGGGAAGGGGTTGATGCTGAGGAGCTGCCAGCTTCGGGTGGCTTTGTGCCACTTTTATAAGATTTCCAAGAAATTAATAAAAGCTAAATCAAGTCTTTTGAGTTAGGACAACAGGTTTGTTCTGCTTATGTGTATATGTATATAAATCTAACTCTTTTCCCTTTCAGCTTCTCTTCCTGTCAGTTAATGCTCTGAGAGAATGGGAAGCTCTTCCTCAAGAGCAGATCCTCAAGAGGAAGGTATTTTATTTTTGAAGGGATTTCCTTAGCTGCAGTGCTAAGGTGATGTGTGGGCTTTGGGGAAGAACTGCATGGCTGCCAGAGGCTGCCAGCCACAGTCATCATCTGAGCAGCAGAATTTTCCTGTCTGCTGGTTCCACTTTCAGACAGACTGTACAGACACAGCCCCCCATGTGGTTCCAGTACTACTGCAGAAATTTGCACCTTTTAAAACAAGCTTGTGATTATTTTTTTTTCCATTGCAGTTACACCAGGACCCGTTTCCACTACTACCACTGTCCCCAGCACTGTCCCTGCCACTGTGCACACCCCTGCAGTTGATTTCAAAGATGCAGAAATGAGATGCTGGATCAATAAGTAAATGCTGCACCTTTATTTCCTGACTTCACACCCAGAGTTCCCTGAGACTGCAGCCTCCTTCTGCAAGGGAAGGGTTATATATCACATATTTAACATCTTGGGGGGTTAAAACTTGGTTAGAATTTCCTAGTGTGTGCACTGGATGGGTGATTCCTAGAGATGCTCAATGCAAATACACACATTTTAATCTCCTGGGGCTGGGGATAAATGTCACACTCCATAAAGTTTGGTGAATTTGAGCACTATTGGTGCTTCAATCCTGCTGTTGAAACTGGGGATTCTGACAGGATTTTCTGTGTATCAACAGCCATGAAATACTGTTCATGTCACTGGCCTTCATCTCTGGCATCCTCCTGACTGTCCTGATTTTTGCAATCATCACTCTCTTCAGGAAAAGTGAGTGACACACTCGAGGGCATAAAGTGTGTGAAACAACGTCTGCCTTGAACAGCTCATCCCTGGCAGTAACTCCTCATCAAACATCCCAGCAGTGCTTTCAGGAAAGAGTTAACTTTGCCACCGATGAGTTGTGGGGGGTTTTGTTGGTTGTGGGCCTTTCTCATCCCAATCCTGGCCAGACTGAACTCCTCAGTGCCTTTGATCCTGTTCCAGCAGGTGTGCAGGGCCTGGGCAGCCCAAGCTGCCCCTTTGCTGTGCAGGTCTGTGCCAGAGGTCACACTCAGCTGCCACCCCTGCCCAGCCTCCCTTGCACTGCTGTCCCCAAACACCGTGCAAACACCTCAGACTGGGACCCCTTTCCTTCCTAGATTATAAAAGGTCCCACCAAAATTTACAAGAGGAATCTTTCTCCCAGATGGCAGCTGAGGAATCTCTTAGGTGCCAGGTAAGTGTCACAGCTGTCGTTTCTAATGCCTTATGAAGATATTTCACGTTCTTGACAGTGTGGTAAATATTAATTTGGGGTGGGAGGGAGAAAAGTCACCTTTGAGACTCAACTGTTACTCAGCAGTTCTTTTGTCAAGGAACTCCAGGGTTTCTGGGGCTTAACTAAACCACTGAGGAGGCAGGTTAGGAGAAATCTTTTTAAAGGGAAAGCATTTCTGCAGTTTTCCTCTGTGATATTAATTCTTTGGAAGCCCCTAAAGGAGACTTGACCCAGAACCCTGAGCTCTGAGCTGTGGGATGAACCAGCCTTTACCAATTTCCCCCACTGGCTGCTTGTGGTGTAGGGTGTTGAGGACAAGTCAGAAGTGGGAAATTCCTGCTGAGCTGCGGTGCTTGTGCCCTCTCTAATGTCTGTGGTTTCTCTCACATCCCCAGAATGAAGTCACCTACAGCACTCTGGTCTTCCAGCAGGGCCGGGCACCACTGCCTGTGTGAAGAAATTCCAAATGAAATAAAAATGTTCCCACTCTCTGGGCATCACAAGCTACGAGGATTTTAGAGCCAGGCCTGCCCTGGGAATGCCCTCATGCCCTCTGTAACACAGCTCTTTCTGCAGTAATGACGGGAAATTATCTCCTGTTCCAAACTGGCTGCCAACGGCTGCAGAGGGAGAGATTCTATACAGGATTTCCTCATCTGTAGAAATCTCCCTGCCCTTGTCAAGTTTCCGTTTGTGAGACCTACAGGAGAGAACTGAGAAATAAAAATGTTTCTCTGCATCTATCCACATGTGTGCTCTCGTGTTTCCCTTTTCTGTCACCAACTCTAACATTTCCCGTATTGTTTTTGATTGCCAAGTGCTCTGCTGAGCTATTTTCTGTTATTGAAGTGATGATAATGAAATGTTTGGATGCAAATCTCTGCTTCCCGGTTGGGTCCCATGACAGAAACGCACAGTCACAGTGTGACAGCCGAAATCCCTGGAAATGTTCATTCACGTGTCATTTCCCGCAGTGCTCTGAGTACAGAGTGAGAATCGTTCCCTTTCCAGCGGCTGCGGGAGGTTCCCACGGGGAGCGGGGCTGGAGCGGGGCTGGAGGAGCAGGAGAGGAGCGGGGCTGGAGCGGGGCTGGAGCGGGGCTGGAGGAGCGGGGCTGGAGGAGCAGGAGAGGAGCGGGGCTGGAGCGGGGCTGGAGGAGCGGGGCTGGAGGAGCAGGGGAGGAGCGGGGCTGGAGGAGCCAGCTGAGGGCAGCACCGAGCCGGGGATGGGACGGGATCCGTGGGATCGATGGGATGGGATGGGATTGATGGGATCCATAGGATGGGATCCATGGGATAGGGTTGATGGGATGGGATGGGATCCATAGGATGGGATTGATGGGATCCATGGGATGGGACAGGATGGGATGGGATTGATGGGATGGGATGGGATCTATGGGATGGGATCCATGGGATGGGGCAGGATGGGATGGGATCCATGGGATGGGATCGATGGGATCCATGGGATGAGATTGATAGGATGCATGGGATGGGATTGATGGGATGGGATGGGATCCATGGGATGGGACAGGATGGGATGGGATTGATGGGATGGGATCAATGGGATCCATGGGATGGGATCCATGGGATGGGATCCATGGGATGGGATCCATGGGATCCATGGGATGGGATCCATGGGATGGGATCAGTGGGATGGCCTGGGACAAGGGTTACCTCAGATAAGAAATGAGCTGCCTGATCTCAGCTGGAGGAGCAGACACCAACGCTCTCTGAGATAAGGAACAGAATGATGCACCCCCTTGGCTGCTTTTTCTAGTTTTTTTTATTCAAAGATGGAGGAAAAAAGAGCCTGGCCTTTAACAACCTCTTTTCAGTTTGACCCATGTTCCCTAAAAACAGGCTGTGTCAGCTGTGGTGTAACAATTACTGCAACTTCTGTGCCACCCCAGGCAGGACTGAAACTGGGCAGGTTTTGTTGATTGACATGGCAGGACTCAGCAGGCCAAATTAATGTAGAATCCACCTGCTATTTATTATTATTATTACTCATGAAAATGTGATAGCACTGGCTGAAGCACAAGCTGACCAGACACAAGTTTAGTTTGGACGGACAGACAAGACAAAGTGAGCTGCTGGATTATGAACAGCAAAGAACACATCCTGGTTTTCAATCAACTCAACCAATCCTCATGTTAAAAAACCCCAAAACCCCAAACTAGACAAAATTTCCATCTTCTGTGTTTAGAAATGGTATTACATAAAGACATATTGACATGCAGCTTTAGAGCAGCTTCAGACCCACAGGTTGCTGCAGTTTCCCAAGAGTTTCTCAGCAAAGCCAGGTGCTTTATCCATGGTCTGGTAGCCACTGGCAGGTTCAGCCTTTATTTATGACTGTGGGTCTGTTGTTTGCTCTGTAAGAGCTGGGTCTGGTTTTCTGCACAGGATATAGGTCCTTAAAATGAAAAGGTAGGTGGTTTTGAACTTCTTTATCTTGTAGGCATAGACTATGGGGTTCATGGCAGAATTGGCATGGGATAAGAGGATTGCCAAGTACACCAAATACGGGGGGATGTGAGACTCGGGGTGAAAATAGTAAATGCAGTTTATAATGCACAGAGGCAGCCAGCAGATTGCAAACAGGAAGAGAACAAGTGCAAGAGACTTGGCTGCCTTGAACTCCTGGCCATAGAAAGCCCCAGCCCCTCTCCCACCGCTCCCTTGGCTGAGCTTCGTGCGGATGATGTAGAAGATCTCGGCGTACAGAGCACACATGATGAGCAGGGGCACCAGGGTCCAGGTGAAGAAGCAGAAATACACCATGTAATCCATCCTCATCACGGAGATGAACTGGCACCTGGAGGAGCTGGAGCTCCTGGCACCTGCCTTGCTCCAGCCAAACATGGGGATGAGCCCTCCCAGCAGGGACAGGAACCAGCACAGCCCCAGGGCCCACCAAACTCTCCTCTCTGTAATGATTCTTTTGTATCTGCAAGGGAAGAAATCCCAGGTTGTGTTAAAGAGAAGTGCTTTAAAGTAGTCAAGGATGAACTCACCTGTTCAGGTACTGCAGGATCATTGTTACAAAGTGAAGCATTAACTTTTTTTTTTAAAAACAAATTTTATCTTGCCCCAAACCCCAACTCTTCATTTGTAACAGTTGCTTTGCAGCATCAGTAAGAACTGGGCTTAAGTTCCCTTGTTTAAAATTGGGTATTTGATCTATTTTATTTCTTGTTTCATTATGATCTTAGTTCTCCTCTTGTCAGGATATTGCTTTGCTGCTGTTGGAAATCCTCTCTTATTTCTTGGCTTCCTTGGGTGTACCTTCCTCTTTTTATTTGGTTTATGCCATTTGTGGGGCTAAAATTCATTCTTTAGCTTCATTCATCCTTTCCCATTATAAAATACGATTTCTTGGATGCTTGAGGTTAGGCTTTGCTTTTCTAGCTTGTGTACTTATCATCTAAATGTAACCAGTGAGTGATTTCAGTTAACTGTTAATAAGTTTGTTAATACTTTTGTATTTTCAGCAAATACTGAAAGGAATTTTATTTAAAAGACAAGCCTCAGAAACATAAAAAAAGCCCTGTAACACACTCAGCATCCTGTGCAATTAACCAACATGCTGAAAACTCAACAGTCTGCCCACAGATACATCCTGTGACCAGTTCTGATCAGTGCTAACCCCAGAGAACACCGAGCTGATCACGAGCACCCCCGGGTTTTTGGGGAGCTCATCTCAGCTGGGCTTTGGGGCACAAGCACCCACTTCGAGCAGTCAAAGGTTAGGAAGGACAGAGGAGGTGGGGCAGGGGCTGGGCAGAGCCCCGGGCTGGGGCAGCCTCACCTGGTGGGGAGCTTGACTCGCAGGTACCTGTCGATGGCGATGGCCAGCAGGGACAGGATGGAGGCATTGCTGAACACCACCATCAGGCAGCACATGAACAGGCAGCTGGAGGAGGGCACGCTGAGGCCCAGGCTCACCACGATGGCCAGGGGCATCACCAGGAGCCCCACGGCCGTGTCGGCCAGCGCCAGGGACGCGATGAAATAGAGCGTGGTGTTCTGGAACGCCGCCTTCAGCCTCACCGCCCACATCACCAGGACATTGCCCAGCGTGGCAAACAAAGCCACCAGGCACTCGGTGCCGATGTAAATCCCATCCAGGCTGCCCAGGGCCAGGCTGCTGTTTGGCATGGTGGGCTGCTGCAGCTCTGCCATGAAGCGCCTCGCATCTCGCATCGACGGCCACCTGTGGGATCTCCAGCGGCTGCTGCTCGCCTCTCCCAGGGCTTCTCCAACATCCAAACCTCGCTGCTACTTCATGTCCTCAGCACTCGGGCAGCAAATCACCCGCAGACACCTCAGCATCCAGCTCCCCTCCCTGCAGACCCCTCCTGAAGCTCACTGCATCCCTTCAGCAGCCCCGGCTCAGCAAAGCGCCTTGGGAAGCTGTTCTGGAATGAAAATGTGGGAAAGCTTCCACAGTCCTTCTTACCAGCAGCTTACAATGAAATAGTTTTCCAGGTTCCTCTTTCAAGCCGTTTTACGAGTGCAGAAATGTCAGCAGGCTGCAGAGCTGCTCCTTATCACTTCATCTCTGCAGTCACTGTCACAACCCAGGCAGCTCAGGGGGTGGGGGGAGCTGCACTAAAATCGAAAGGTTCCCGGGTGAAGATAAGGACAGGGAGAGGTCACTCTGCCGCTACCAGCATGGGGAAACCAGGCTTGGCTCAGGGAAATGTAATTCCCAACCAAATCAGAGCAGGAGAACACAAACAGAGCTGTAAATGCAGAGGTGCTGGGGCAGAGGCTGCAGCTTGTGAGGCAGCTGGGGCTGGGGATGGAGCAGCCCCGTGCAAGGGCCGATGGCAGCAGCACTGGGAGTTGCCAGCCCTGCATCTCTCCCTGTGCCCCAAAGGCAGGTGCTTTCCGTTCTGACACTGAGCTGGGGCCAGACCCGGGGAGGTTCCGCCCGGCACCCCCCGTTCCCAGCGGGATCCTGCCGGGACAGGCACAAAAGGTGCTCCCATACCCTTCAGGTGCTTCCTCAGCAGGCAGCATCTGTTTCCTGTCCTAACCGCGACAGGGCCGGGCTGCTGTGGCTGTCACCGGGGGAGGACGAGCCCTTCTGCTGTCCCCAGCCCTGGGCATCCCTTCCCCGGCCCCTCATCCCCGCATCCCTTCATCCCTCATCCCCACATCCCCTGATCCCCTCATCCCCTGATCCCTCATCCCCTCATCCCCTCATCCCTCATCCCCTCATCCCTCATCCCCTCATCCCTCATCCCCGCATCCCCTGATCCCCTGATCCCTCATCCCCTC